TTGAGGTGGTTTTGTTTTTATGATGGCAGGCCTTGAACCTGAGGTCTCACCCATGCTAGGCAAGTGCTCTGCCACTGAGCTACATGCCTAGCCTAAGTAACTTTTTTCTAAATCTTCTAACAATATGTTTTTCCCTTTTACTCTGAATTACACTGATTTTTTTTTCACATTGCACCAGCCTTTTTTTTGAAGGGAAACTTGATGTGATCATGATATATTATATCTTTATATTGTTCTTGATTCAATTTACTAAAATTATATTTGTGTCTGTTATAAAAAATTTTTGTGTGTTATTTATTTCCTATAATGTCTTTGTTGGATTTAGGGTTATGTTGATCTCATGAAGTGGTTAGGAAATGTTCCTTCTTCTGTCTTCTTTAAGTATCTGTTCCAGACAGGAATTACTTCTATAAATGCTTGATGGAATTCAATGGTAAAACAATAACAATGGAGCTTCTTCTTTGGTATTTGATAGCATATTCAGTTTCTTTAATATTTAAGGCTATTCTGATTTCTGTTTCTTTTGGTATCAATTTTGCTAAGTTGTATTTTTGAAGAATTTGTTCCCTTTATCTAAGACGTTGAATTTTATTGGTATAAAATTGTTCAAATATGCTCTTAACCCATGTAAATATTTATAGATTTGTAATGAAAGTCTCTCTTTTGTTCTTGGTATTGGTAAATTGCATTCATTTGCTCTCCAACCCTCTTGCCCTTACTTCAAAGGTACTCAATTTTTTCAGCTTAAAATGGTCATTTATTTACTAATTTTTAGATCTTTTGCCTTTTCTAATATAAACATTTAGCGTTTCCCTAAACTTTGCTTTAGCTCAATCCCATAAATTTTTATATATTATGCTCTCATATTTCCTTTGAAATGTCTTCTAATTTTTCTACGGTCTTTTTCTTTTACTCATGAATTATTTAGAACTGTGTTTTCAATTTCCAGATATTTCAGGTTTCTCTTTAAATCTGGTTTTCATTTAAATCTTATTAATCTCTAATTTAATTTCATTATGGTTATAAAGTATACTCTTCATGAATTTGATTCTTTCAAATGTCTTGAGATCTCTCATACCCCAACACACAGTCTGTGTAAGTGAATATCTGATGTGCCCTTGAAAAAAAGGAGTATCTTGCTGCAGTTGTCTTACCAACATCCATTACATCAAGGAGGGTAATAATCACATATTCTGATTGTTGGTGTGTAGCTGTATAAACTGCTGGCATAGTAGTGTTAAATCTCTAACAATACTTGTAGGATCATCTATTTGTTCCTTTAATTTTGACATAATATTTGTTATTTGGATCCCACCACTTGCGGATATAAGGCAGAAGGATTATTATAGCCCAGGAATTTGAGCTCAGCTTGAGCAATACAGTGAGACGATGTCTCTAAGAAGAAAAATCATTCCAATATACTGACAGTTTTATCACTATGTAATGCCTCTCTCTTTACCTCAAATGATATTATATGTCTTCAAGTCTACTTTCTTTCATATTAACATAGTCAACGTGGCCTTAAATTTACTGTTTCTATGGTATACATTTTTCTATGAATTTACCTTATTATGTCTTTATATTTAAAGCTTGCCTCTTACAGACAGCAGACAGATGGATCTTGGTTTTTGTTTGTTTTTATCTGTCCTGACAATGTCTGACTATATGTTGGATATAGGTGGATAAATGTTTACTGTTTTAATATGTTCCCCTTTACTCTCTTTAGTGCTTTAGTTCCTTTTCATCCTTTCTGTTTGAATACTTTTACAATATTCAATTTCAATTTGTTTTTTTGGCTTCATAGACATGTGTTTTGCATATCTCATTAGGGTTGTTCTAGGGACTAAAATATATGTATCTGAACTTTTTACAGTCTCTTTGGAGTTAATAATTTATGACATCACGCAATATACACAAATGCTATAGTAGTGTAAGTACATTTACCCTGCTCATTTTTCATGCTAGTTGTCATATATCTACCAACACTGCAAATCATATGTTAATATATCTGTAGACATTACAAATCCCACAGTACAATGCTATAAATTTTGTTTAAAATAATATTAATTTGTTTAAATACATGAAAAGGCAAACATTTGCTTTTAAATATTTACTTGTACACTTATTATTTCTGATGCTATTCAGTCCTTCCCAAAGATCCAACTTTCCATCTGGTATCATTTTCCTTAGACCTAAAGAGTTTTATTTAGTTTTCTTACCCTGCAGGTATGCTGATGTCAAAATGCCTATGCTGTCTTTTATCTTAAAATGTCTTTATGTCACTATTTGTCAATGGGAAGTAATATCTGATATAAAATTTACACAAAAAAAGTAAAGCATGTAAGGCATGGTAAATATACTGGTATACATAACAAGATCATTTTCTTCATTCACATTTTTAAAAACAATAGCAAACACCTGTTTGGAAGGCCTCGAGCAGTTATATCCACTGCTAATATTTCTGTGTCTTTACACTGTTTTTCTGATTGTGTAAGCCACAATTATATGGAGGAAAACAGGATCAAAACATGGTTAATACAAGAAAGTACATAAAGAACTGTTGCAACTCAGAAATAAAACTTTGTAAACAGTGAAGAACCTGTTTTACTCCAAAAAGGAATCTAACATTTGAGTTAAAAATAATAGTTACAGATTACAGTAACTGAAAATTATTTATAATTTTCCTAATGAAGAGTCAGGGTCTGTTTTCCTTCCCCTTGAATCTCTGTTAGCCTATCCTACTATTACCAGTGACATGAGAAGAGGTGACCTGATGGTAGTTCTGGGACTAGCATTTCATAAGCTGTAGCTTTGATGCCGTTTTTATAGAACCCTTGCCAAACGTGAGATGTCTAGTCTGGTTTGCAGGAAAGACCATGTAGAAATAATTGAGCCCACAGGGAAAGAAAGTGAGTGACCTATTTGAGTATGACCTATAGCCTTCTCCCAGTCAAGGACCATGCATACGGACAGAGTTGGGCTGGACTCTCTAGACAGGCCATTTTCTGGCTGCATGCCACGGAGTGACCACAGCCAATACTATACACAGAAAGGGCCGGGAATATAGTTCAGTGGAATCGCGCCTGCCTGGCAAGCATGAGGTCACGAGTTCAATTCCTGGTACCAAAAAAAAAAAAAAAAATCATGAAAAATACTATACACAGAAGAATTGTGAACCCCAGTTCTGCTCAAATTGAACCCATAAAATTATGAAATATGACAGTTGCTTTAAGCCACCAAGCTTTGGAGTAATTTGCTACATACTGATAGGTAACTGGCACAATAGCATTCTGTTTAAAATAACTAACAATAATGTAGGGTTGATAATATAAAAGTGAAATGACGACAATAACAAAAATGGAAGACAGTAAATGGAAATGTAAAGTTGTACCTTAAGGATATATCAACTTAACTAGAACAAAAGAAATAAAGGATGAATATTATAATCCCTGTAGTAATCAATAAAAAACTTCTATCTAAAAAGTCAAAAGAGGTTATAAAAAGAAACGCTCAAACATACTTGATAAATCCAAAAAAGGCAGGTCAAAAAGAGATAAAAAAAAAATTAATGAACATAAACAGAAAAGTTATAAACCTAAAAAAACTTAACAGTAATTATATGTAAATAGAGACTGAAAAATATAGCCTGTCAGACAGGCAAATAAATGTAAGGGCTGGGGGTAAATCAGGTATGGTAGAAAATTAAGGTGCATGTTTACATTAAAATAAAACTGTTGCAGTAAAAGACACATTGCCATACTCTTCTTCAAACTATTCCCTGTGATTTCAAACACACTTACTCCATCACTCATGCCACTTCCTGAAACAGTTCCTTAAGTTCTTTTTCATGAGTATCTTTAGTTGTGCTCTCATGACTGCCTTAGTGTCCTGAATCCATCCAAAATGTTTACCTTTCATGGTCATTTTTGACTTGCAGAAGAGCTAGAAGTGGCACAGGGCCAGGTCCAGTGAATAATGGGACACACTGAGGACACAGTGTAATATTTTTGTGTGCCTGACTTTCTGCTGGATAGCATCTGGCAGTGGTGTTCACCATGTGTGATCACATCTCATAAAGACATTCATGAAAGAGGACTTCGAGAGCAGCTTTCAGAAGTGGCAAGGATGGAGAGGAAACAAAATGGCAGAGGCACTCCGCAGCAAAATTCAGCCTCCCTGAGATCCAGAATCCAGACACCTGGAAGGTAACATGGCAAAGAGAAAACAAGAAGTAGATCTCTGAGAATCAGGAAGGAATCAGGAAGGAACTGAAGGAAAGTTAGCCGCCACAAGGAAGGTAGAGAAATGCAGAGAAAAGAACAAAGCAGGGGCTGGAGATTTAGCTCAGCGGCAAAGCGCCTGCCTGGCAAGCGCAAGGTCGTGAGTTCGGTTCCCGGTACCGGAGAAAAACCAAAAAAAA